CCCCCCGCTTCCAGCGGAAGCAGCTGCCCTGCCGCAAAAAGCCTTTCAAATGTTACGAGCTGAGACGGATGGCAAAAAAAGAAAATAAATAAATAAAATAAATAAATAAAAATGAAAAAAGCCTTTTTGCCGTCCTAATTTTCGGGTTGTTTGGACGGCACTGGTGTGCTGAACCTCATGAGGCTGCTGCAAAACCAATGGCGCGTGGCTGTGGTTGCGAGTTAGCGGCGAAGAGGGCAGAACGGGCGCCACAAGGAAGAGCTGGCATTTCTCGCCAGGGACTCGGCCCGTTTATTTTGCTGCATGTGATTTCCTGCGAATTATTTAGCATAAGACTTCCGGGTGGGCGGGGGTGTCTGTAGTGAATATTGTGGAAATAATGAAATCCAGTTCACACGAGACGGGGCCCTACTCGATCTTCGCCGAGAGATGGGGAGCGGCTGCTGATTTTGGCAGGGTCGGAGGCAGCATGCAGCTTCGCAGAGGGTGGATTTAGGGGCTTCTCCAGGGGTTAGAAGCAGTTGCTCATTCTCGTCCTGCCCTGCATCCGCTTGTGCTGGTCGCTTGCCAGTAATCAAACACCAGAGTCACCCGAATTGAGTAACTTGGCTGGTGCGCGTGCTTGAGCCCGGTTTACTTGCACAGCATCCTCATTCTGCTGAGTTTTGAACTGCTGAGCATGCACAGAAATCCATATATCTCCAGGTCACTCTCGCTCAGAGATTAATTTATTGGGCTAAAGGCGACCCGGGCTTTATGGTGCAATTCAAAGTGTTTATCATTAAAACCAATGCCTTCTTAGGCGGCGGATTCCCTTTTTGGAGGCGGCTAACATGGTGTCTCCTGGGGCTCAGCAACCTGAAAAGGAGACGACAGCTCTTAAAGCGCTTCGCTATTTCCCCCCACAAAACACCATCTTCTCGGGCAGCTTTTTTCCTGGCTCTTTGGTGTCAGGTCCTGGCCGGCAAGGTGCTAGAAAACCCTCATCCCAAACTAGGTACCTTTTTGTTTTTTTCTTTTTAACTCAAGAGCTTCTGCACTGCATTTACCTAGGCCCTGCTTATCGTGCCACAGAGGAATGCACTGTATTATATATAATGCAGAGGAATGCACTATATTATATATAATATCATTTGTTACTGACAAGGGCCGAGATTAGGCAAACGCCGATGTGCTTGGAGAAATCCAGAAGTGAGCAGTCCGATGCCTCCAGTTCTGCCCGGCTCCAGCACGGGCAAAGATTGGCAAAGGAAAATGAGCTACATCCTCTTGGTTTCTATCTACATAGTCTATAAAGAATATCTGAGATTTTTTTTCTATTCAAAGGGGGGTCGCCAGATGTCTGTTTTTTCCATCGGAGAGTATACCTTCCTTTTCACGTGCCAGAACTCCCTAAAACGGGAAGCGCAAGCAATTTCTTTACTCTTTTTTTAAAAAAAATTCTTTCAAGTCTTTAAATTAACATATACATATATAAGTTCCTTCTTTGTGCAGCTCAGCAAAAAGAAATCTTTCTTGCAGATCGTCCAAGACGAATACACTCACAAGATGGCCTTAGAAAAGTCCAGAAAGAGCTAGAAAAACTTGCTTCTCCTCCCATTTCTTTTAAATGCCTAGAGATCATGAAACAAAGGAGTAAGAATAAATTTTGAAATGCTTTTATACTCAAGAAAGAAGGAACATGATAAACAGACCATCCTTTCCTTTGGCAGGCCACCTCTCAGGCTTTTTTTTTTTTTTTTTAATAACACACCGCAGAATGAAAATACGATGCGGATGAAGTATGTGCAGCTTAAATACTGAGGGAGCAACGCTGAAGTGGTATTTGGCTTTGAAAGTGTGATAGAGCTATCCACCGTGCATATTCAGGCAAGTATGCTGATTTTCCTGATAAACTATATTACTGCCATTTTTTTTTGCTCCAGCGTGTAAGCTGCTAGCATCATGAAGCCAGGACAGAACTGGAGTCTAGCCTAGCTTGTGGGTCACCTGCTGCATTATTTGAATTAAATCTTAACTGCAGAAGATGTGGCTTCGTTGACGGATGGGTCCAGCTTCGCTGTGGGGCTCTGAGCTGAGCTGGCAAGATTAGCATGCACAAAGCATCTATATGTTTATATAAAAACTGTAAATAAAACAAGTTCTGACCCAGGAATCGAAATAAATAAGTTTAACCCAGGGTGTGCGCTCCTCCCCCCTGCCCCAGCTCCCCTAGGGCCCATGGCCACCCCCAGCTCCCCGCAGCAGCCCCAGTTGGGCTGCTGGCCCCGAGGGGAG